CTATCACAGGCCCTGAAAGACAGAAGAAAAGATAAGACCTTTTTGTCTGTGTTCCAGGATTAAATTTAATTGAAATTTGATCTAGTGCTTTCTCCAGAACCTGTATGAACTCTAGAAAAGATCTTTAGCTGCCAAAAACACAGAAACTTCTTACCTGAAGCTTTACCTAGGCTGCAACTTTTTAAAAATTATTATTATTCTCACATAAGTATCTCACACTAGCAAAATTGCATGGAAAGTATTAAAAGACATCTGGTTTGAGGTTTTTTTTTTTTTTTAAAAAAAAAAAAAAAACTTTTTCTCTTTTTTTACCTGCACTAACTGGGGGGGAAATGGTGCATGGAAAGGAGACTTTATAATCCTCCTCACAGCCACCCCAAAATAGTTTTCTTTGCATGGCTTCCCATCTGCATATTACATATACTTGTTAGACATATATGGTTTCTCTCACTGACTTTGGCCAGAAGACAATGCCGCATGGAGCAGCTTGTGCTTTGGCTCTGCACCACATATTCAGAGCCCCACACTTCATCAGTGGGCTTTGGTGAGCAGATTTCACTTTGTCTCCATTTCTGACATCACAGTATTGACAAATTAATCACACATATGCTTATCTGAAGACAGAACAGAAATTTTTCCTTCCTGATCATCCATTTTCATGCAGACATCACAAGGATTAGTCCATAGAAGGCACTGGTAAAGACATCATTTCATTAAAGCTGCTTAGCATACCTCCAGGTTGCATCCAAATCTATTAATAAAAATATTTTAAGCTTAATAAAATGAATTGCAATAAAATATGAAAAATGTAAACCAGTTTGTAATAAGAGACTATGCCCACACCTATTTTAGTGAAATTTTGTCTCCAGATTCTTATTTATATCACTAGGAGTTCGGAAGTTTTAAATCCTTCCCATAATAATTCTCTTGTGCTCTTTACCAAGATTCAGAATATTTTACTTATAATTGCACATGGTCTTTAATATCTCTGGCTTCTCTCAGAACAAGAGAATGGTAATAGCCTAGACAACTGCTTTTAATTTAAACTAATTGTTTGTTTCAAGGAGAAATCCATTTCTCTGGCTAACCTAATGATTTCACATGACCAGAAAGGAAGAAAGCTGAAATGGTGTTGCTCCTACAAATCCTCAGTGTAACTATTAGTGCTAAAAATTCAATACAGATTTAAGCTAAAAAGAATTGCAATTATTTTTGCCACCATTTATGGTTTTCTGGGCTAACACCCTCTCTGATACCAGGCCAACAGACCAATAAATGTTCAATGGCTTCCACGATTCTCACTAGGGTCCAGATTTTGGTATCACTAATCAAACACCATCTTATTCTATGAATAGTCATCCCATTAACTCTAGCTCTCTGGACCTATTTAGTGCAAGTCTATTAGATTTGGCACTGAATTAGAACCAACTACACAGACACCAACTTTCAAATTAGGATGAAAAATATCATGTCTACAAAATCCTACAATATGCTAATTATCACCTATATCCTTTGTTGAGAGCACTCAACACTTTATAAGAGAAAGGTTGCATCTTCCTGCATCAGTCATAATTAGAGAGGGCAATCAAAGATTCAACATAGTCTTACATTCTGAACACAAAGACTTCTTTTTACCCAAATGTTACAATCAGACAAAACAAAGGGTCTAGTTTTATGCAGTCTCCACTTTCCAAAAACTTTTGTTGGCAGTTTATAAAATTCTCCATGAATAAGCTATTCCAAACTGTAATCCCATTGGTGCTGTGTAACTTCAGTCAAGTTCAGTATTTGAAACTATCCCATGTTCTTACAGAAAGTTTCCACTATATAGGCAAAACCATTTGGCTTCTCAGCATTATGTTAAAAAGAAAGTCTACCTCAATGTCTCAAGTTTCTGTGAAGGTGCTGGAGAACAATTTATCCTGCACGATACCACAATGTAGTACCACGCGTTCCTAACAGCATAGCTGTTCTTTCTTATCCAGAGAGAAGAGACTACCCCTCTTGTATGTCAGTATAACATTCTTATACAGTATATCTATACCCGTTAAACTGACTCCTTTTCTGACTCTAGTTAATTGAAAACCAAACAGGTGAAAACAAGGGGGAGAAATCAATCTTTGGGCATCTTTGGTTAGGTATTATTTAAGATGTTCATCCGGCATTAAAACTGATCAAGATAATCAGAAGCCACAAAAACATTATACATTGGGCAAAGGGTACTCAGCTATTAGCCAGGTATCTCTTTGCAGAACATGCCACATAAATAGAGAGCCTAAGGGTGAGTTTTTTTATGTGAACCGTGTTGACTTAACTCTGTTCCATGGAAGTCTATGGTCAAACTAATTGAGTTAAAAGAAATAAACATGCAACCATCATTTATCA